TAACGCGAGCAAATCCGCGGGCAAAAGCTAGTAATAATAATAACAATAATGTGTGTAGGCGTAATACCAACGATCCTACAACTCAGCCTACGTGTTTTGAATCTACCTCCGAATACATATATCACAATGAAGAAAGCAGCAATATTAAACACATGTGGTATCGTACGTTGACGTTTTGACAGACTCGACCCATTGGTTTTGCGGTGAGATATTGCAGCATATATCACGGGGATAATAATATTGTTCGGATTAATACCACCTGCTGAGTTTCAACATCGTACCACCCGCCAGAAATTGAAATACCAAAAAAAACGTAATTGTTTGCAGAAATAATAATAATAATAGTCACACAAGAAGTACACACACACTCACACATACACACACGCACTCACACGCTCGCACACACACACACACTGCACTTACTTGATTTCGGCCCGTAAGTGTGGAAAAAACCAGCAAATGCTAAGAGTGAGACGATAGTGATAATAATAATAATAATAATTTATTTCTTCATCACATAACTCATCCATGCTTGGCTAAGGCCCGCGTGTTTGAATATATTACCCCCGTAAAAAGGGAGATATAATATAAATATATATATACAATAAAATAAAAATAATAATATTAATTTATCGATTATCTTATCTTCTACTGGCGTTATCCCAAATTCTCTACACAACTCATTAAATAAACTGCACCTTAATAAAACATTCTTCATTGAACTCCAGAAATCTACAGTATTAGATACATGCTCTATAGTTAGAAAAATTTTAAATAGTCCAATTGCAAACAATCTTACTGATTAAATAAAATTAAAATATGAGTGTTAAAACAGTAGTAGCAAATCTGCTGTGAGCAGTATAATACTCAAACCCACAGGCGCCATCCTCAACCAACACTGGTCGACGTCAGACGTTGCGTCGATGACGGCATCACAAACTCAACCAGTGACAAGCACCGCTCATCACGCGCCTTAATGAGCACCAATAAAAAGGGTGGATGCTCCACCCCTATGTAATTCAAAAACGTTAAGTTGTTGCAATAAACGCTTCATGAGAAGAGGTCACAGTTTCATTTAAAAACACTCTTCCTTGTCAAAAAACAAATTAACAATGAGAACAAGTGACTTGGCAAAAAACACATCCTTGTCTCTACAAAACCAGCTACAACTTCACCCACTTACTTTCATCCTTCTCCAAAAAGCTGTAATATTAAACACTTGTAGAATAGTCCGCAAATTTTTGTCTTCCACTTAAAAATTATCCATCCTCATCATTCATCATTTATACTGTCATTGTTTGGTGATTTTTTGTCTATTCCAACGGGAGATATATAATATATATATAAAAAAAAAATTAATAACTCTTTATTGTGTCCACAGAAGAAACAATAAGAAAATACAGTAAAATAGTAAAGTAATTCATTCATAATTTAGTCAACCTAAAAGTCATTGTATATATAATAAGTAGGTGGCATACATAAGACACTATTTATTATACTACTACATATATTAGGTGTAAATATATAAACTTACACGTAGTGCCGTTTAGCTCCAAATTAGCAAAGTCTATTTTATGGGTACTAAATGATTCTGATCGCCTGGATGTACTATACAAATAAACCTTCCTCTTGAATCACTCTATCTATTAAAAAAATCAATCCGTTGCGTAGATATATAATATATATAGGGACAGAAAAAAATAATAATGATCTATCGACTCATAGTGTTGTTTAGTTGTAGCAAAGTCTATTTTATGGGTACTAGAAGAAACAATAAGAAAATACCGTGTGTATATTTAAAATTTACTTTTGACCCCCTCATAAGTCAAAAAAACTCTTTCACACAAACCTGTCAAATTTGGTTCATATATTGAGACCTGCGAGATAAATATGTGTTCCAAATTTCATAAACATATCTCAAACGGTTATTTAGATATTAATGTCCAAAAATCGTCATTTTTATCACTGATCAACTATAGATCAAAATTATAAGAAGATGAGGAAGTTCAAATTTGGTATGCAGATAGGTAATTAGATATATAAAGGAAAAAATGAAACTGGTAAATTGTTATCATTTTACTACAATTTTTCACTTTAATTGATTCTATTTCAACTTATACTGGACGAACACTAAAATTCTATGAAAACGTCGATAGCCACCAATTGACATTGATCCCTGGCGAAATATCTCATCTTGTACTGGACGGAAACTAATATTGTATGAAAACGTCGATCATTACCAATTTACGTTGACCTCTTCACATCAGTGTCGATAACTAGCAAACTTCAAATATTGCATTGAGCGGTAAACACTAGTTGCTATATATTAGATCCTGTCTAAAATATACTCGTACTTATAACTAGGAGTATAGTCGAATTTCGTATTTATATATTAACTGAGATTTGGTATTAATTATTGTTTCAATATTTAGCGCACATCGATAGTGTAAAATCATTATTTTTATAAATAATTATTAAATAATAGGCATTTCGGTATAGGGCGCCGCGGCGGCGCCGTGTGGGAGCGGTGCGATGAAACTCAATGTTTTGTTTCTCGATATCTAACCTATAAGGTTGCGATTTATGCTACGAAATTCATAGCTTTCTTAAATTATACTTATATATTTGTGGTTATATTATTATTACATTATTTTAGTAAATACGTATGGTATAGACAATAGTTTAAACCAAAAATTAATAACAATTTTAGTATAGTTATAAGTAGGAATGTATAGTTAACTCGAGAATGAGAACTCATTGGTAACAAATTGTTTTCTTGAGAATTCAATAGATAACAGTCAATTTGTTACATAATCGTCTTTACGAACTATAACGTGTCAATACTAAGTTTCAGATATTAAATAATGTATATTTATCTAGAACAATTTATTTGCTTAACATATGTCATCCACAAATCACAAGGCCTTAGTTTTAGCAGTCCTCTTCTCAACATAGGCTCCTCTATATTTAATAAAGGGAAGGTTTACGTTGGACTCTCATCAAAATCTTAACGTTCAGTAGTACAACCATCTGTTTTACCGCCCCGATTTGAAAAAGATACTGAATTGGCATTGCACTTGAACATTTAAAAGTTACAAGAAAATATAGAAAATAACACAAAAAAAAGACAATTATAATAAATATACGAAAATACAGTAATTTATCAAAAATAATTTGGTATTAATTTTTATAAATCACCTCGTATAATTTATGTACAAAAAGTAATGATATCCCAACAAAAACATAAATGTGAAATAATAAGTTTAATATTTGATATATACCTTGATTGTTGAAACAAAGAGAATACATTTTAAATTCAATGTCCTGAAATATAAACAATATAAAATATCATTTCTTCTTATATAATATTATGTCGTTTTCATATGAAATATAAAGTTCTAAACATGTTACTTGTCGGTTCCTATTTTAATATGTAATAAACAGCAATCGAAAGTAATAATATATGAGAAAAAACAGACGTATATTATCGTAAGTTATAAGAAGAAATTATATTTTATATTGATAAATTTCGAACCATTGAACTTGGCACGATCTCATCTCTTTTTCAATTTGTATATATCATAATATTAAAACTCACATTTATGTTTTTGAATGGGATATTTTTATCTAGATTTATTGCCTATGTCATTCTGATGTGTAAGCTATATTACTGGAAAGCTTCATCAAAATCCGTTCAGTAGGTTTTATGTGAAAGAGTCCCAGAACAAAATCTATGGAGTAAATAAATATCGTATGTATATTTTTTCACCTCTGTTAATAATTTATTTATTCTTAAAACAAAAGAATACATTTTAAATTCAAATATAAACGAAATATTTATGTCTTCACATATGATAAATTTCATGTTAGTATGAAAGTGTAATAAACAAACAAATATACAGACAAAAACAGACGGAGGTGTAGATAAACGAACACCGTTTCAATTTGAGATAAACTAGGAATTTATGAATGTGGATGGTTATAAGGGCAAAGTAAGGCCTAAAAAGAGATGGATGGACTGTGTGAAAGATGATATGGTAAGAAAGGGAGTAAATAACGAGATGACGGCGAACAGAGATGAATGGAAGCGAAAAACATATTACGCCGATCACAAACAAATGGTATAAGGAAGAAGTAGATGATGATAGGAATTTGTAACTAGACACTCACAAATCTATTATTATTTTTAACTCAGCAAGCGATTATCTCTCTGTTTATTTTTCTTTATAGGTGTTGGACCGCAAGTCTTCGTCACGTGTTACATGGTGCGTACTGTACATGCGGTTAGAGTGGTATCTATAATTGAGTTCAAATGTATATTTTATTACCTTGGCAATAAAATACATTTTATTGTCATTATCTCATAAGGTACTAATTTGTCTACAATTTATTTGACTCATTGATAACCTTTTATTGTTTACATTATATTTATCGGTGCCGCTATTGGGAACAGGGAAATGATTGGAAACAACTTTATGTATAAACTAGTGGCCAGCCCCGGTTTCATCAGTATAATTAATTTTTTTTTAATCATATGGATACATATCACATAAGTCTATATCACTCTAGAATAAAGTATTTCTCAGGCAGTTAAATAAATTTCAAATCGCCGCAGAGGTTCCCATATTTACATTTTTACTAGTACTGCTCGCCATTTTTCAAAATTCGCTATCTAGATCCGTCAGGGACAAGAATCAAATGATATTCTTAGGAGAGACACTCTATCCTGAGGAGACACAAACCGTATCTCCTCAATACAGAGTGTATACTGTCCAAACGACATATTTCGTGTATGCATGAGTGAGCTACAACCACATAGGATATGTAGTGGTGTTTCCTCTCGCATCAATATTTATCTATTGTTAAATTCAAAATACAAAATTTATATAAAAATATTATGTACAAAAAATATAGTATCAACAACAACGCTTTTCGGTTGCTGTTCTGAAGAGATTTATACTATTATGTCAATAATTCTGTCAGTAGTTTAGTGTGTGGTATGGAGTCGCAATGGATGTGATAAACTTACATAATTACTAACTTACGTTAACTAATACTATTAATTAATAAACAAAAACCATGCAAAAACCGGAAAACGTTGTAAAGGTTGAAAATGTTAGACCCAGTAAGTATTTCATTAAATTTTTGCTTATAATTTTTTTTTCTCTATGTAATGATTTTATTACGATTATTAATATCTTAATTACTGTAATAAAACCTTAATTAATGTATAATAATTATTTTTATTACATAGATATGTTGCGGTCTAGTGGTTTGCCAACCGACTTGACCCCAAAGATCGTATATACTAAACTTGCCAGCATCAAAAACAGAAAATTAAAACTGTGTGTGTCTATTAATATCTCTAACTAAATCTCCGGTAATGGAAACACCGATTACAATATAAATTAATCCGAAATAGAACGGTAGGCTCCCCTACGACTTGGCTCCCATATACCGTGTAAAATGTAGGTATGTCTAGTTCTGCGATCACCATAACGTCGACAGCTGACTGTCTCATCTGGCAAAATATTAATTAAGGTACATAATGATTACTTTTAATATGTAAACATTAAAATTCTAACAATTATAATTCGAAATCATTATTCAACTATAATACTTTTAGTATTACAATAACAAACTGATTTTACCTAAATGTCGTTTGGCTAAAGTTAGTAATTCGTTTTATAGCAATTGCGTAAGGTTTTACAATAAAATACCAGAGTCTGTTATAAATCTGCCAGAAAAAAGATTTAAATGTCAAATAAAACAGTTCTTTTGCAAAAAAAGCTTACTATAAAATTGAAGAATTCGTTAACGATAATAATGTTTTTATAGAAAAACTTTAAATCCGTAGCACTGACAATATTATCTGATTACACTAATAATGAGTGCGTAGCGATTTCTATGTTAATAATCGCATGCCTCTTACTTGATATAATTACAGTAATAATTTATATAAAAAACACCTATTAAAAAAAGCAACACACAAGTTTCTTGCTCATTCTTCTTGTGATGAATCTGCATTCCGAATGAGTGGTAGAATCAAAATATGACTATTCAAAAGTGCTTGTAATGAGTTTATTTGAATAAAGATTACTTCTATATCTATTTCTATTAATTATATATGTGAATAGTATTCAGTTTAATAGATTCTGTAAGTTCATACAAGCTGAATCCTCTCAATTAACTCCCTGTTTATCCCAAATCAGGCAAAGCCGCAGGATACAGTCAGTGTAGATAATAAATGTAAGTTTATCCTTTAAAATCTATTACCGAGTACTAAACAAGTGTAAAAGAGGGTTTAGGGTAGAGGGTTTGTGGTTAGGAGTACCTTCGCACAAATAGTTTTGGGTTGTAACCCGTACATTTCCGTAATATAAAGTGTCTTTAGGATTTGTTTTAGCATTTTCAAATGATTTATTATATGTATGTATCTGTACTAGCTGACCCGGCAATAGTTTTGCTATATAAATTAATATCGCTATTAAAAATAGGGGTTGATAATAGAAGGGTGAAAAATTAGGCTATAAAATATTTTGATTTTTTTACTATGTGGCTATATATAAAAATACATACATTTTTAATGCCATATAGTAAAAATATCAACATACTTTGTTTTGTCGAAAAACGAAAAAAAAAAATTGTGGTGAGCCACCCCTTAACGCTTGGGGTTAAAAAAATTGTTATAAATAAAAAATACAAATAAAAATTTTATTACAAAAATTGAAAAAAAACCTATTCTCAGACCTACTGAATATACGTATAAAATTTGATCAAAATCGGTCTAGCCGTTTCGGAGGACTGTAAACGCGAAACCTGTGATACGAGAAATTTATATATAAGATAGATAGACAGATACAGTTGTATCAACTTGAACTTTTGATATAAACTATAATATTATTATCTAACCTTATTACTGACTGAACGATTATTTGAATGTTTATATATGAGATTTCTAATTTAATGTTAGACTAGTTCATTGCGTTGGATGGTGTGATTGAGATCGTCGCCCTCGCCGGCGAGGACGGTGACGTGTGTCTGTGTATGTGTGGTGTGGTGTACTTACTATACTTATTATAAGCGGGCTCGGGTGCCATTGGACGTATCGTCGGGACGTTTCCTTCATGATGGTGATCAGATTGAAATCACGCTGTACATTTGCATAGCAAACTAATCACGGCGCGCCAATGGCTCGAGCTAGGAAGTTATTTTGTACATTACTGACTAGTTGAGTAATTAAATAAGAATAAACGAATTGTGATGATTAGAGCAGACCAGTCCCTACAAGCTGCACTAGCTCACGAGTATGACGTATTGACCATATTTTAGGGAGCCCAATGACCCGTCCTACCACGACGCCACATGTCTAGTCATTTAGTGAGCATGACTAGTCAATCCACTCGACCACGTCATGTCATAGCTACTTAAAATTACCAAGTGATAGTTAATGTGCGGGTAACATGTGTATCGGGTGCTGCTTGTGGGGACTGGTCTGTTCAGGTTGCGAACACTGATTAGATTTTTTGTTTTTTGCAATAGCATATGCTGGTAGTCACTATTCTCCCAAATATGAATTTAAATGAATCTATATTATTGTAAACATGTACAACATTTATTTGAAAAGAATACGAGCTGAGTTTCTTACCAGTTCTTCTCATCTTGAAAACAATCCGAACTGACGGTAGATTTGACAAATCATAAGAGTCTGTAATAGACCTACATGAATAAAGATATTTTTAATTTGAATTTTTGTATTTTTTTTTTAATTTTACAGAAAATACAATTATGTATAAAATGATAAAAAATAAACAAAACAAAGAGGTAACAATGGGCGGCCTTATCGCTAAAAAGCGATCTCTTCCAGGCAACCTTAGGATGGAGAGAAATGATTAGATTTGCGCCTGGTATAACTGTAATGATGGTAACAATATTGCAAGAAATGTTATAAATATACATATAACATAATACAATACAAAATAATATAATAAACTTACATATATATGAATATATATATATATATATCCAATAACGTAATAGACCTACATGATTAAGACATTCTAAATTTGAATTGTCGTTATTGTGTCGTATTATGTATTTTTTTTTTATTTCCAGAGGGCCTGGGAGTTCGACATCTGCAGACTGCGTTACTTAGCACTGGTATGATCATCTCGTTCTGCATGAGAGTCAACATGAGTATGGCCATTGTAGATATGACAGACCCTCGTAAAGAAGGGGTAAGACAAATATACGTATAGTTTTAAAAGACTACATACACTAGATGATTATGATAGGGTATATATGCTATATAATTGCATATATATCGTATCCAATATAAGACATAAATATATGAATTAAATGTATGAAATTGTAAATAACTAACATAGTTAATAAGTTGATTACTAACATAAAATGGATGGATAAATATCCGAAATAAATGAAATAATAATAATAATAATTCCAATCGTTATGTCGGTGAACGGTCTTATGTATAATATTAATGAAATAATATGCATATACCGGTTTCTGTCCCAGGGGAAGGTATATGACATCTAAGAGGGGAGATGACAGATAAAAATAATAATAATTTATATAGTTAATAGATGATAATTACACTTGACATCTGAGATTAAATTTTATTGTCAGATGACAATTACACTTGTATGTTAAAATTGTATTGATTCTTATGTACAACTTAATTAAGTAACATAACCTATAACTGCAATAAATATTTTTTTTTATTATTATTATTATTATTATAATAATCCAAGACATCAATAAAATTTGATGTCTACAAATTGTAATATGTAGAAAAAAACATTTTTACTACATATTATTATGAATATATATATATATATATATAAAATATTTTTTTTTACAATATATTCAAGGTCTACAACACACTTATTATTATTATTATTATTATAAGGTAGATATCAATAAAATTTGAGTGTCTGTTTGTAATATTGAAAAAAACATTTTTTACTACATGCATATGAATATAAATACGGTACATACATCAAAATAACATTTTTTATAATTTTTGTCTGTCTGTCTGTTTGTTTGTTCCGGATAATCTCTGAAATGGCTGGACCGATTTTGACGGGACTTTTACTGGCAGGTAGCTGATGTAATAAGGAGTAACTTAGGCTACTTTTATTTTAGAAAAATCAAGTTAAATTCCACGCGGACAAAGTCACGGGTACAGTATAATAATAACAATAGTATAGCAGGACAATTCACACAGCGCCATCTAGTTCCAAGCTGTGTAATATGCAAATCTTGTGTTATGGATACTAGACAACTGATATAAACACATACATGCATTTTTTTTTTTTTGTAAATACATACAAAGAAAATATTTAGACCGATATAAATAATCATACTCATGAATACAAATGTTTATGCCGTGAGAGGAATCAATTCGAGTATGATTGTATCCATCCGGATGTTTTCTATTTATATTACGTATGAATTTATAGAAAAAAATGTATCTATTATATATAGATATATATATATATATATTTGACATCATCATCATCATAATTTTTATTCTACCACTCATTAGGAACGCAAGTTAAACACAAGAAGAATGCCAGAAACTTGTGTGTTTCTTTTGAATATATGTTATTTAAATGAAATAATTACAGAATAACAAGTAAGAGGCATGCGATAATCAACATAGAAACCGCTGCGCACTCATTCTTTGTGCAATCAGATAATGTTGTGAGCGCTATGAATTTTAAGTTTTTTCTACAAAAATATTATTGCCATTTACATACCCAAGCTCTGCGTACTTATTCGTCGACTGAATGCATCTAAGATATTATTAAATCGCAATGAAGGAGTAAGTTAGTTTTTTTTTTTTCTGACTATTCAAATGCTTAGCTACAGCTGGACTTTGTGGTCGTCGACCGGACGTTAACGGACGGCGAATGCAGATGGCACTCCAAACCCGCGGAAAGATTTATGGAGCGGCTGAAGGCCAACTCCTGCCTGACGGATACGACTTTAGTCTGAGGTCACCCCTAGGGGTTCGAACCTCGGCTCAGGCCATCGTAATATCGATCTCCGTTTGAATTATGAAGGGCGCTCGGGGCCGCCTGTGTGGAGCGCCCGGGTGCGCGCAGGCGCCTGGTTGAATGCGCGATATTATGTGTTTGAGGTCGTCGTCTTCGCCGGCGAGGACGGTGTCGTGTGTGTGTGAAAGTGTGGTCGGGGTAGAACGAGTGGGCCCGTGGGAAGGTTTCCTGCCATTATGGGGTCGTCGGGGTCAATGAGAACGTGCCTCGGGCGACGTTGTCGCGTATGTCGGATATTACTTCTCGGTTCGTAATCGACGGAACTGACTATAAGCAGGTTAGGGTGGAATTGGGCAGAGTTGAAGTAGCGTCGAGACGCTTCCTTCATAAACTGCTTGATGGAGGGCAGATTAAGATCGCGGTGAAAGAATTATTCGACTACCGACCTCCGTATTTATAGACCGAAGTCAGTGTAGTAGGGAGAGATGCGGGGGTAACGGACTAACAACTTAGTTCGGTCCATAAATACTAGATGGCGCTATTTACAATATTTGTAATAATATAAAAATCTTTTAATATTTTTAAAACAATGGATTTTCTACAATATTGATGTGAATTCTAACATATAATAGTACTGAATTGAGGTTTATATCAGTTGAAGTTATAGATCTGCTAAGTAGTTCTAAGTTGTACGCAGATATACACAGTTGTTACAGAAGTGGGTTGTTGTTTATAACATAATATAATATTATTAGTGTTAAGAAACTTAAACGGCTTTTCTAGTTTAAACTTAGTTACACAGTAGCGGGTTAACGCTTCACTTCGCCCTGGAGACAACCGTTAAAATTAATTTACGTTGTAAAAAGTTTAACTTTTTAATGTCTCGGTATCACCAAAGTGTCGTTATAACGTGGTATTGCTTTATTTAGTAGTGTTAATTTAATCTAGAATCTAATCATACAACATTTACATAAAGATTTTTTTTTTAAACTTAATATACATAACTCAATGGTGACTGACTGACATAGTGATCTATCAACGCACAGCCCAAACCAGATCGACGATAGACAGATCGGGTTGAAATTTGGCATGCAGGTAGATGTTATGACGTAGGCATCCGCTAAGAAAAGATTTTGATTAATTCTACCCCCAAGGGGATAAAATAGGGGATGAAAGTTTGTATGAAATATTGGCAATTTTAAACCGATCGGGCTGAGACTTTGTATGCATAAAGCTACTATTACGTAGGTATCCCCTAAGAAAGGATTTTAATAAATTCCACTCCTAGAGGGATAAATTAACGCGAGCGAAGTCGCAGCTAAAAGCTGGTTATGAATAAACTGGAAAAACTCAACGCAATCTAGTCGTAAACTAAGTAGAGCTATTTGTACTAAACAATTAATCGGAATATATAGATATAATAAATATATATACACCACGTTAGTGGTAAATAAGCCTATGGACCGTATCTGATATGGACTGGACGCCTGAAACACCAGGGGCTTTGCCGACCCTAAAAAAACCTTATAGCCTTCTTAAAGAATCACGTTGTCTCTTGAGAAAATGTCAGCAAATTTTCTCAGTTCATTCCACTATATAATTGTACGCGGGAGGAAGCTCCTCTGAAACTGCACTGTCCAATACTACTTAGGTTATATATTTGGATAAGAAGAATGAGCAAGAAACTTGCGTGTTGCTCAAGTTTCTTGCTAATTCTTCTTGTGATGAGTCTGCGTTCCTGCTTAACTTCACTGATATAGAAATATAAGTAAACTTGAAATAAGTACTTTTAAGTGGTCATATTTTTTTCTTCTACCACTCATTCGGAGCGCAGACTCTTTACAAAAAGAATCAGCAAGAAACTTCGTGTTGGTCAAGTTTCTTGCTAATTCTTCTCGTGATGAGTCTGAGTTTGGAATGAGTGATAGAATCATAAATAATATTGACTTGTTACGCGTGTGCAATCGATAAAAAGATTAAAAAATAACTAGTACAAGCTATTCAGAGCGCAAACCGGTTTGTGATATATACATAGTTAGAAAATTTCCATTACTTGATAGTAATGAGTTATTTGCATACTTTAGGGTCATCATGATAACAATTATTGGTATCAATATAGGTATATAATGCAATACATATACTAAATTATATGTATGCTTAATATTTGTCCGAACATCTGTCTGTTATAGCACTATCCTCACTAATGTTCGAAATATGAAAGTAACTCTGTCTATTTGCCGCGCTTTTACACCAAAGGATCAGTAGTTTTAAATGAAATTTAGTACACAAATAATCTAGATCTTGAGAAAGGACGTAGACTATATATATAGTAGGATAATTAAAAAAAAACTATCATTATCATTATAATTACTCAATTTCAGAATGTTTCAAATAGTTTCATAAATGACGAAGTTCTTAGGTAACAATATGTTAGCAATATGTTAGGTATCAATATAGTAACAATAGAAGAACTCAATGGTGTAACTCCTTCTTTTTTAAATTCGATTAGTTTTATTTCAGAGTTATGACTGGAGTCCGTGGATAAAGACTATCATTCTATCATCATTCTTCTGGGGATATGTGCTACTACAAATCCCGAGCGGGGAGCTGGCGAAGAGGTTTGGCGGGAAAATACTGATCCTCGTATCAGTATCAGTCAATTCGATAGCATCAGCGTTGCTACCGAAAGCACCCAGTATAGTAAGTATGTAAAAATAATAATAATATTCCTGGCCAATTCACACAACGCCATCTAGTCCTAAGTAGTCCTTATATTATAGATACTAGACAATAATAGAAGCAAAAATGGAATCAGTACAGAAAGTACTTCTAACATGCTTTTTAACTATTCTAATGCTGGCCGCAGCTGGCCTTTACAGCTTTACCGGACTATAGAGTGTGAGTGTAGATGTCACACCAAACCCGCGGAAGGACTTACGGAGTGGCTGAAGACCAACTCCTGCCTGACAGATACGACTTTAGTCTAAGAGGACCGCTAGGGCTATAAGAATATAACTTTAGTTTTCTAAAATAAAAGTAGCCTAAGTTACTCCTTATTACATCAGCTACCTACCTCAGCTAAAGCCGTAATTTTGATCTCAGTTTGAATTGGATGGGAAATCGATTTGAGAGGCAACCTAATCCACGGAAGGACTTATGAATCGACTGAAGATAAATTTCTACCTGACCGTTTTACTGACTCTTTAGATTGTCTCTCAGATACAGCTTACCTTTAATGCTATTATTATGATTTCACTGACATTTATGTTAATTTATGTCTCCCTCATCATCAGATTCCTGCAGTCCTATAGTACCGCGATGTAAGAAGCAACGAGAAACTACTACATGAATGAATGCTGTACATATATTAACCAAAGATTCTACTATAACACACGTAAAAATTGTTCTAAAATTGTTTTTTTTCAGGGTGGCTGGCAACTCGTTTGTGCTATTCGTATGCTACAAGGTCTCACACAAGCGTTTACTTACCCTTGTACACATCATCTCATTAGTCAATGGATTCCAATTGAGGAGAAAGGGGTACTGGGCACGTTTATTTATTCAGGTATTTCACGTACATATTAATACGCGAAGTGAAAATTTTGTACCCCTTTTTACGAAATTGCGCGAATGGAGGAGTATGGAATTTCCCACACTTATAGTTTATATAGAGAACGAGTGCTAATATTTTTTATATATTAATAAAAATAAATGTAATCAATAAAAAAAATAATATATATACGCATATGTACTCTGCTGGTTATTGTTAAAGTCTGTGGTCAAACTGAAAATAGATCAATATTATTTGCCTTTAATATAATTGGTGCAGTATGATAAGATGAGCATGACGTCAGATCAATTAACCCATAGTGGAAATTTCATTAGGAACTTATAACGATTGTTTCCAGGAGGAATCGCATGGAGGTTTACCTGATATGGTACATTGTTAGTAATACTATCATGAGTCCATTACCTACTTCCCTTAACCTATTAACAATCCCTTCCCCCCAAATTTAAAGGTTAATCGTTATCATTCCAGGTTCACAAGTAGGCATTGGCTTGCAGCTTATGGTATCAGGATTTATAGCAACAGCATGGGGCTGGCAGGCAATATTCTACGTGAACGCAACTCTCGCTGCAATATGGGCTGTAGCGTATATATTTTTAGGTTCAGCTTCCCCTGAAACATCCAAGATTATATCAGAGCAGGAAGTTTTGTATATTCAAAGGTCATTAGGACGAGTTGGTGAGCAAGAGGTGAGCGATACAAAAAATATACTTATGATTACTAATATTTGTACCGTGTGAGGATCTCGGAAATCATCAGAAGTAAAGCGGTGTGCTAAACTGCTAGACCATCGAAACTGCATAAGCTAACAATTATAACATCTGATTCAGCGCCATTGTCAATGCCACGAGGTCGCGTTAGCAAAATTACAACACTGTGGCGGCGTTAGCCTGCCCTGTAGATGGTGTAAGACAGGCCCAACCTACCTAACCTGAACTACACTCAAAAGTTAGTGAGCGTCAATTTGTATTTCTTACTGATAGTCCAGTAGATGAAAATGCGGATATCAAATCTAATCAGAGACACGGCAGTTCAAATAAACTTTGAAATGTAGACAAGTTAACTTTAGAAATTATAGTTAAGTATCGCGCTCACTATGACATCCTCCGATTTGGGGATCGGTTGTCTAATTTCAACGGAGATCAAAATTACGACGGCCAGAGCTGAGATTCTAAAACCTAACGGAGCCCTAAGATTAAAGTTGTATCTGTCAGATAGGAGTTTGCTTTCAGACGCTCATAAGTCCTTCCGCGGTTTTAAAGTGGCATCTGCACTTGATCTATATCCTTTAGTAAAGATGTAATGACGAGCTGCTGCCAACAGGATTGTATTAGATCAAAATACAACATCGACAATGCCTCTGACCAACAAATTTTTCTCAGATAATGATGATTGTATATTTTTCAGAAACTCCCAACGCCATGGCTGAAGATTATGACTTCGTTGCCGTTCTGGGCGATTATCATTGCTCATTGCGGTCAGAATTGGGGATTCTTTACTCTGATGTCGGAAATGCCTACTTACCTCAGCAAAGTACTTGGCTTCAACTTGCAAAGCGTAAGTTTCATTTACGTCCTTGTTTTTTAGGTCTACAGGTCTACATGGACCCCAACAATTTTTTTTTCTTCACACAGGTCCGCAATCACCATTCTCAAAATTTCCCCTACTTTTTGGTATGTAAATTAGTACCAGCGTCATTGCATTATAAGTTAAAGCCATTAACCTGATCTACCCAAAAATAGTTTATTATAAGCCAAAATACGAAGCAAAAGAAAAATTTTCATATATTCAATTCTATGTATATATATATATTAATATATAAAATTGAACATTTTGTTTCTTTGGCTGAATAGTCTCGGATAGTATGAATTGAAAATTGTGTTGGATGTCCGATTTACCGAGAAAGGTCATATTGTCAGTTGCATAGCCTATATAAGGTGAAAGATAATAATTAACATAACAACATACAACCAATAGGAGCAGAGCAGTAACCAAAAATATAGCAAAATTGGAAAATTGAGAAAGGAAAGTTGAACGTTGAAGATGAGCGGATTAGCTAGAAAATATAAATCTGTAGAGATAGTTTGAACGCTCTTATCTCTGGAATTAGCGATAAGAAAAAAGGATTATTTTTCCATGTCGGTATGAATACTCTGACTACTAACTAGCGGTTTAGTGTTTGGATTACAATTTTGTACCAAACTACACGCTCCTAATCAAATTCTTGTACTGATTGTAATGAATGTATCTTTGGAACTAGCGGAAGAAAAGAAATGAATGAATGAATGAATTTGGAACTAGCGGTAAGAATAGAAGAAATATATTTGCATAGCGATAAGAACACTCTGGAACTAGCGATTTAGTGTTGATTACAATCCAGTTTTGTACCAAACACGCTCCTAATCAAATTATTGTACAAAGTATAATCTGTTTTGTGTGCTAATAAATAAATAAATAGAAGAATAATTTCTACATTCGATGTCTCAATTCTTGAGGATGGTTTAAATTTTTTATTAAATATTGCGCTATAATCTTTAGTACCTGAGAAAAATAAACTGGTCGTAAAGCCATAAATACCACAAGCAAGTGATACATAGAAGCTGAGAAAAAAGAAAGTCAGAATGATAGTAAAGCCATAAACACAACAAGCAAGTGATGCAGTCGTCGATGGTGGCCGTTGTATCTTTCAATTTAAAACGCAACCAGGATGATGGTAAAGTCATAAATACCACAAGCAAGTGATGCATAAAAGCTGAGAAAAAGAAACTCATCATGATAATAAACCCATAAATATAACAAATAAGTGATTCATAGCAGATGAGAAAAAGAAAGTCAGAATGATAGTAAATCCATAAACACAACAAATAAGTGATGCAATGGTTGACGATGGTCGTAAATACCACAAGCAAGTGATGCATAAAAGCTGAGAAAAAAGAAACTCATCATGATAATAAACCCATAAATATAACAAATAATTGATGCAATGGTTGACGATGATCGTAAATACCACAAGCAAGTGATGCATAAAAGCTGAGAAAAAAGAAACTTATCATGATAATAAACCCATAAATACAACAAATAAGTGATGCAATGGTTTGAGATGGTCGTAAATACCACAAGCAAGTGATGCATAGAAGATGAGAAAACAGAAAGTCAGAATGATAGGAAAGCCATAAACACAACAAACAAGTAATGCAATGGTTGACGGTGGCCGTTGTATCTATAAATTAAAAACGCGATAGAAACTGCGCGGCGCACCTAGTACACTAAATGGCCTTGCAGATTCCCTTTTCCAATTTATCTGCTCACTGAACTTATTATAAAAACATAAAGGGTACATTCTATTGACCGGAAATATTGATATTGACCGGAAATATTGATAATGGAAGGTTCTATAGCAAACAGTTGAAGGGAAAGAACAATAACTTCTTATATTTTTGTCGCTTTGCTTAATTTTGTTTATTTGAATTCGTTGGTTTTATTAGCTGTAAATGAAAAACAAACTGCTCTTAGGAGTGTGAAATTTCGAACACATATAGTTTATATAGAGAAGGAGTGCAAAATGCTATTTTTTTTTAAATATGCATAAAAAATACTACACACTCAATATGAATATCAATGAAAAAAATGTTACACGCTCTACCAGTATTTGACACACACGCATAGAAGTATATCTTTGACGATAGAACCTTAATAATATGCAAACCTATCATTAACTTAATTATGGTCAATTTCGATGATTGGCCGACTACTAATTATTATTAATATAGAACTAGCTATGTCCACGGTTTCACTCATGTTATATTTCTATATAAAACTAGCTGTCAAGGCAAACGTTGTTTTGCCTTTAAATAAAAAAAAATTAGGGGTGGACTACCCCTAACATTTAGGGGGATGAAAAATAGATGTTGACCGATTCTCAGACCTACTCAATACGCTCACAAAATTTCATGAGAATCGGTCAAGCCGTTTCGGAGGAGTATGGGAACGAAAACTGTGACACGAGAATTTTATATATAAGATATAGCTTATGTGTTATCTGATGCATAAGCTATATCTGTAAAGTTTCATCAATGTAGTTGCGTGAGAGAGTAACAAACTTCCATACCTACAAACTACCGCGTATAATATTATTATGATTAAGATATGGTACAATCTGTTTTTTATTTAGTTATATAACGTTGTAACGCTGAAACGTACACCCAGGTCACAGGTCCCGGGAGCTGGTGGAAGTTTGCCCTCTCTGCCATACGATGGACCTGGCAACCGCACGGTAAATTCATGAAAACCTAAGTTCATTTCTAGAAATTATATGTAATCTTTTGAAGGCCTCGATGGTCTAGCGGTTTAGCAGACCGCTTCACTTCTGATGGTCGCGGGTTCGATTCCTCCTCGCACGGTACCAATAATTATTAACAAGTATGATTGTTTGTATCGGTCTGGATATTTTCTATGTCTATTATGTATGTATTTACAAAACTAAGTACCTGATTGAAGAAAGATTCATCCGTGAAAGTACTAGGGGAAAATATTTGCAGTCCCAAATAGTTCCTAAATTCACATTAGTTACAGAAAGTATGATACGAAATATCAATCTGTGAAACTGGTCAAGATCGCTGGAAGGCATTGGATGCGAGCAGCGCAGGACCGATCGTCGTGGAGATCTTTGGGGGAGGCCTATGTCCAGCAGTGGACGTCTTACGGGCTGAGATGATGATGATGATGATGAAATAATTTCATCATCATCGTCATCACATTAAGGAAGACGTCCACAGCTGGACAAAGGCCACCCCCAAATATCTCTACGACAATCGGTTCTTCTCTTCTCGCATCCATTGCCTTCCAGTGATCTTGACCAGATCGTCGGTCCACCTTGCTGGAGGCCTTTCCACGCTGCGTCTTCCGGTCCGTGGTCGCCACTCGAGGACTTTATTGCCACAACGGCCATCTGTCCTACGAGCTATGTGCCCATTGCCACTTTAGTGTCCTAATTCTTCGGGCTATGTCGGTCACTCTGGTTCTTCTGCGGATCTCCTCCCGCCAGAAACTCCGAGCATAGCCCGTTCCATTGCCCTCTGAGTGACTTTGAGCTTGTTCACGAGGACCATAGTTAGCGACCACGTCTCTGTGCCGTAAGTAATCACTGGCAACACACATTGGTTCTAAACCTTTGTAAAATCTGTGCTATGCTTATTTTGGATGACATGCCCCCCCCCCCAGTCCCCCCCCAGAGGGGGGAGTCTAGATGATGATTAGGTCATCGGCAGTTATTTACTTTTTTACACGAATGGCAACCCTCACATCTTTGCTAAAAAAACCATACATTAATTGAAAAATGTTTACGTAAGCATGGCGGAAGGGGTAAGATCTTTGCTTACTTTTGCTGACAAGTGGTTGGGGAAGTAAATAATTGTAATAAACCTGCTTATGTAATACTTGAACGGCCCCTTGCACAGAATTTGTATTGTTTTAAATAAATAAATAAATATGTATTTATAACAGTAATCTAGTACCGATAACACAATCTATAGCTAGGTTGACTTGGGTCTAGAGGGCGCTGTGTGAATTGTCTTGAGATTAGGGTTGCCAACCATACTCTATAATAACGTATCCTACTTTATTTTTGGTAATTATACTTTATACTTTAACATACAAATAAAGTATGCAAAAATACTTTACTTTCAACCTTTACTGTGATGGGTAAAACAAAATACTCATTATGGATACTTAACGATTTATAATTACTGAACGAAATGTCAGTTGTCAATTGAAAGTTGTTTTGTCACAGCTCTAGTATTAAAAGCACACAAAAATACGTTTTTAATGCAAAAAAAAGTTTGAAAAATACCTCTTTTTCCTATCCAAACCAATTTATACGTTTTTTTTTACCTGATATTATTACATGTCGATGACGTAAATATATAATTAAGTGATTACCACGCAATCAGAAAATTCGTTTGTTCAACTCCCTTATAATTGATTGCTGGCCATTCAGCCATTACGCGGCGCACGCAACGAAAAACCGAGTAAGTGCAAGTCATCCTAGCAATTAGTGTTCCGTACCAAAATTTGTACGAAACATTATTTCATTGAGCGAACACCGAAATTGAGCCTTTTAAAAAACAGTTGAAAATACTTAGAGCCCATTTGAAAAGACGGTCAAGTTTGAAATGGACTTGTAGAATTAGGGTTTCAATTAATCTTTCGAGCAAAAATTACTGAATGGATTTTGATGAAACTTTACAGGAATATAGCTTATAGTTTACAATAACAAATAAGCTATAACTTAAAAAAATATTACATGAATTGGGCTACATACAATGATAAATGTCAAGTGAGCAGACGAAATTGTTCGGGTCAGCTAGTACATAATAATTTTGTTTTCATTATTAGTCTATTTTCAAATTCAAATTCAAAATATCTTTATTCATGTAGGTCTATTACAGACTCTTATGATATGTCAAATCTACCGTCAGTTCGGAATGATTTCGAGATGAGAAGAACTGACAAGAAACTCAACTCGTTTTTTTTTAATGTTGTACAATTTATAATAACACTATTTCATTTAAATTCAAATTTGGGAGAATAGAGTGAAAAGCATATGCTATATAAAAAAAAAAAAAAAAAAATCAAATCTGTGTTCGAAACCTTAACACACCAGTCCCCACAAGCAGCACCCGTACACGAGTATAACGGATGAACATCATTGCACTCAATCATATTATAGGGAGCACATCGACGTGACCCACCACGCCGCCACAAGTTTGAACTTTAATAATGACTGTTTCAATTACTCCAATATATTTATATTATTTAATATAAACTGTACCAATCACAGTTTTCACCCATTACAATATTTAATTACAATATGTCATTACTAAATTTAGGATAGTTTGTATCTCACATGGTTGAAAGCTAGTCTATACATATAAATAAAATTGGAGTGTTTGTAATACTGAAGTAACCATTTTTTTCTACACGCATATGAATATAAATGCGGTACGTACATTAAATAATATTTTTTACAATTTTTCTGTCTGTCTATTTGTTTGGCTAATCTCTGGAATGGCTGGAGCGATTTTGACGCCCCGGACTTTTATTGGTATGTAGCTGATGTAATTATATACATAGACTACTTTTATTTTTGAAAAATCTTTTATTATAAAAAAAATTAAGTAAAATTCTAAATCCATTGCGTAGTTTTAAAGATTTAAGCATACATAGGCACGGACAGCGGCAGGGACTTTGTTTTATACTATGTAATGATGATATATAGTTAACATAAAATTCTATCTTAATCTTAATAATAATATAATAAACTCGAAAGTTTGTAAGTATGAATGTTCCATTTGAAAAGACGGTCAAGTTCGAAATGGATTTGTAGAACTAGGGTTTCAATTAATCTATAGATGTTTGTTACTCTTTCACGCAAAAACTACTGAACAGTTTTTGATGAAACTTTGCAGTAATATAGCTTAGGCATCAGAATAACATGTAGGCTATATTTATTATTGATATTTAACGCGGTTGATACCACGAGCACTTTAAGTAAAATATTTAAAAAATTTAAGTTTAAGTAAAATTTAAGTAAAATATAAGTATAATATATATATTATACTTATATTTTACTTAAATTTTGCATTGTATACTGAATATCGGAAGACGCAGCGTGGGAAGGCCTCCAGCAAGGTGGACCGACGATCTAGTCTCTTGACCAGATCGTCGGTCGGTCGCTGGAAGGCATTGGATGCGAGTTTACAGGACCGATCGTCGTGGAGATCTTTGGGGGAGGCCTATGTCCAGCAGTGGACAGTCTTCCGGGCTGCGATGATGATGATGATGATACTGAATATTATAGATAGATAGATAATAGTTTTTATTTGTATTATGTAAACAGTTGACCCCGGACAAAGTCGGGAAAAGGTCGCTAGTATAAAATATTCTATTTTATAAACAGTGCCCGTAACACGTGCAGTAAACATTGGGGTTTTCCACCTATGGGTAGTGCTCTCATCTCAAAATTTTATTTTCTTCGTCCCTACCAATACGCCCAAGCAAAAGGTCGACCTATGAAATTCGATTTTGAAATTGCAGTACTTTTAAAGGAAGGTCTTATTCGATGGGGTTTTCCTACTGTATAAGGGAAATTTTTTATTTGTGAACCTCAGTGGTGTAGCAGTTTAGTACTAGTCATGATAGTTACTTCGATCTTCATATAGTAAAAAAATTTATAATAATAATAATAAGAACAACATATAACTAGTGCATGTAAATTAATAACACAATCTGATTATAAACACAGACGGCCTCGGTGGCGTAGCGGTTAGCACACCGCCTTACTTCCGATGGTCGCGGGTTCGATTCCTCGCACGGCACAAACATTTGTATTCCTGAGTATGATTGTTTGTGTCGGTCTGGGTATTTACTATGTATAATATGTATGTATTTACGAAAAAAAAATGTATCTATGTATTTATATCAGTTATCTAGTACCCATAACACTTTAGCTAGCTTAATTTGGGTCTAGATGGCGCTGTGTAAATTGTCCTGAGATTATTATTATTATATTATTATTATTATTAGACACAACCAGGTTGCTGCAATAGTACATCAATACTTAGGCACTAAATATCAATTAATCACCGAAAAATTAGCCTACTATAAATACACCCCGCAGATAGTACTCGACTCTCCCGGTTGTAGGTTGTATTGGGACAGGACTATAATAACAGTCAAAACTGTACATCACAACAGACCAGATATAACACTACATGATAAGAAATATAAAATAGTTTACCTTATAGATATTGCAATACCAAATACACATAATCTTCTATCCATACATACAGAAAAAATTACTAAGTATACTGATCTGGCAATAGAACTAAAACTGCAATGGCAGGTAGAAACAGTAAAAACTCTGCCAATTATTATTTCGTCCACAGGTGTCATCCCAACATCCCTACACACTAGCCTCAAGATATTACAGCTTCACCCACTTACTTTCATACTTCTCCAAAAAGCTGTAATTCTAAACACCTAGAATAGAATAGTCCGCAAATTTTGGTCATCATAATAATTTCTTTTATAATTGTCATTGTTTGGTGATATTCACCCGCAATGACAAGTTTAACTCCCCATCAAAGGGAGATATATAATATATATAAATAAAATAATAATAATAACAATCATCATCATCATCATCATCAATAAAAATATATGCCCATATAATTAATAAATTTGTTATTCTTCCATGTCTTAAAATTACAGTACCTACATATTAGATAAACTATTACTTGAATGTCGACCGTGCATGGCAATAGTTGTTCGTGCACGGGATTTTCATTTAATGTTAGACATAGACACCTATATAAATATACATTGTAAATAAACTGGCTTTTAAATAAAATGTATAAGTAATTCAATAGATTTTCTTGCCAGTTCTTCTCAATTGTATCTGTGAACGAAGGACTGTATATATATGGAGCTGGTAGATATAATTATGCAAACACGGGTTTTAGGAAACAATAATATAATATTATGTACAAAAGTATAATAATTAGCAGAACAAGAATCACAATGTCATATATATTTTTCTATATAAAATAATAGACAAAATACATAAATAATAAACAAAGAGGTACATCGTGCACAGTATCTATATACTGAACTGGATGGTAAGGAAAAAATATAATATAAAAAATTTACGTTCATAAGCGGCAAAAATGTCCTACACGAATAAATGATTTTTTAATTTTAATTTCGTATCAAATCAAAGAAAGCACGTATTTTCTTTCCAGAATGGTGTTTTGTCGTCTCTGCCATATATCGTGATGACATTACTAAGCTTCATATGCGGTTTTATCTCTGATCTACTTATAAGAACCCAGAGAATGAGTCGTGTTAACACAAGAAGACTGTTTAATACCATTGGTAAGTTTATCATATTTATCTACTTGACAGATTTATATGATTTTGTTTAATTCCGCTACAATTAGCATATCTGAGACCAATATTCAAATATTCAGTGTGGAAACTTGACTACCGTTACGACATTCTCTAATCGCGATCAAATTCATATATAATGGATAGATGAATTTATAGATGATAGCAATATATAGCAAGTATAAGTTTATTTGCGGACAACGTTATAATTTATTTTTCATACTGCTTTCTTGATATATGATAGCGTAGCGGCTTTTGTATTGATTGCCGCATGCATCCTCATGTAAAGTGCGAATACTGTAACTACCATATAGTAATTTTTGTAGCTGTGACGTGGTCGAGTGGAATGAGTAGTCATGCTCACTAAAATGTCCAGACATCTGGCGGCTTGGTGGGCCGGGTCATAGGGCTCCCTAAAATATAGTCGAGCGCAGTGATGGCTGGCCCATCCGTCATACTCGTGAACGAGTGCTGCTTGTAGGGACTGGTCTGCTCTTATCACTACGACTGATTTAATCTTACTGTGTTTTTATATTTGAGCCTAAATAAATTAGTGCTGGTTGGTAGTTTGTATTCACACGTTTCGACTTGTAAAATGTGAACTTACAAGGATTGTTTAAAAGAGCAACACACAAGTTTCTTGCTTATTCTTCTTGTGATGAGACACCTTCCGAATAAGCGGTAGATTTAAAAAAATGTTGACTATTCAAAAGTGCTTAAATTAAGTTTATTTGAATAAATGATTTTCTATTCTATTCTATTCTATTCTATTCCGACCGTTATTGACTAACTTTTTCTTAGAAGCCTAGTGTTGACTCTTCGGCTACCAAACAGTGGTTTGGTAGCCGAAGAGACAACACTAGGATTCTAAGCTACATCCGAACTCCATTCAACGCCTGATGATGCCTCGTCCAGAGGCGAAACACGTGTCGCGATATGGGTGTAGACTCAATAACGGTCGGAATTTGATCGCCACTAGAGAAGGTCGTAACGGTAGTCAAGTTTCCACACCGAATATTTGTGGTCTCAGATATGCTAATTGTAGCGGAATTAAACAAAATAATATAAATCCAAAATAACACCTAATTCAATTAAATATAGCACATTTATATTTATTGACGGCCTTGGTTCTCTAGCGTTTAGCACACCGCTTCACTCCCGATGGTCGCACCTTCTATTCTTTGTACGGACAAAACATTTGTATTCAGGAGTATGATTGTTTGTATTGGTGTGGGGTTTTCTAAGTATTTAAATATATATATATCTATCAGTATTTATATCAGTTGTACCTATAACAGAAGCTGGTTACCGTGGGACTAGATGGTGTTATGCGAGTTGTATTTGGATGTTATTATATTATTATTGGTAACATCATCAAATATACTATCATCGTGCAAAGATTAATAATTTAGTGATTTTATCACTAAATCTGCCATGGTCTGGTCATCATACTCCTCAGAAATAAGATCCACAAAGACAATTACTAATCTATACATATAAATAAAATTGGAGTGTCTGTTTGTAATATTAAAATAACCGTTTTTTACTACATGCATATGAATATAAATACGGTACATACAACAAAAAATTTTTTACATTTTTTGTCTGTCTGTCTGTCTGTTCCGGCTAATCTCTGGACCAATTTTGATGGGACTTTTATTGGCAGGTAGCTGATGTAATAAGGAGTAACTTAGGCTAATTTTATATTAGAAAAATTCTTTTATTTTAGAAAAGTAATATTAAATTCCACGTGGATGAAGTCGCGTGTACAGCTAGTATTTAAGTATAATAATTGATTTTTTCAGGTTTTTGGGGTCCAGCATTAGCACTGATCGGTTTGTCGTATGCGACACCTGAAAACGTTGTGTTGCCGATTTTTATGCTTACAATGTCAGTTGGTATAAACGCTGGCCACTTTACTGGGTACTTGGTGAGTTATCTGATCATCTCAGTAGCTTTTTTCGGACTACTCTAATGCTGTTGGCCTTTACAGCTTCACCGGACGATAGGGGGCGAGTACAGATGGCACTACAAACCCGCGAAAGGACTTATGGAGCGGCTGAAGGCTAACTCACGCTTGATAGATGCGACTTTAGTCTGAGGGCACCGCTAGGAGTTCAAACCTCGATTCAGGCTCTGGTTCTTTTACTTATGGATAATGGAATGGTGCTCAGCTGCGCTAATTTACGCTAGCGAGGCACCAGTGGAGGATAATAAGATGATGAAGTTAGGTCAGTTAGTCCAGTAGTAAATCACGATGAATTTATCACAGTTTCCAAAGAGACCACGTGGAAGTCAACCTGATATGGTACTTTGTTAGCAATAGGGTTATTAGTACATTACTGACACGATTGTCAGTAATGTGCCTTTCCCCTGCCAATTATGTGCTGCTACACTGAGAAGTTCTTTCAAGAAGGGTATATTAAGGTTTCTTAAGGGTCGGCAACGCGCACGTGACAGCCCTGGTGCTTCAGGCGTCCATAGGCTACGGTAACCATTTACCATCAGATGGACCGTATGCTTGTTTGCCACCATAGTAGTATAAAAAAAAAAAAACTCTTTGAAAGATTCATTATTCGAGAGGTAACAGCACAGGTTCTTTTTTAAAAAACCTGGTTGTGCTGCTTGTGGACTGGTCTGTTCAGGTTGCGAACACTGATTAGATTTTTTGATTATTTTTATATAGCATATTCTGGTGGTCACTCTATTCTCCCAAATTTGAATTTAAATGAAATAGTATTATTGTACATATGTACAACATTAAAAAAAATACGAACTAAGTTTCTTATCAGTTCTTCTCATCTCGGAATCATTCCGAACTGACGGGAGATTTGACATATCATAAGAGTCTGTAATAGACCAACATTACAAAGATTTTTTAAGGATGATAATAGAATGGTGCACCCGCCTGCGCTAACGGTTTACGCTGGCGGGGCACCAGTGGAGGATGATAAGATGAACATGAGGTCAGGTCAGTTAGACCACCGTGACAAATTCACCAAGAATTTATAACGATGGGTTACAGAGGGAACCGCGTGGAGGTCAACCTGAGGTGGTACATTGCTAGCAATAGGATTATTAGTCCACATTACTAACAATCTACCAATCAAACAATCTAACAGCTCAGGTTAAAATGGTAGAATATTTTGAATTGGAATAAAAATGTTTTTATGTTTAGTATTCAAAGCACATTACCGTATACCAAGGTCGGGATAATCGGTAGATGTTGTTGTCAGAAACAGCAATGGACAAAATGTGTTTGTTCTTTGAAAATATTGCTCTTGATCCCTTTTTGCTTTTTTTTATTATTAACGCCTACAAAGGGTGTACTTTAAAACTATTGTTAAAAAATATATATAAAGACAAGCTGCACCCGCGGCTTCATCCACGTGGAATATAACTTTATTTTTCTAAAATAAAAGGAGCCTAAGTTACTCCTTATTACATCAGCTACCTGCCAATAAAAATCCCGTCAAAATCGGTCCAGCCATTTCAGAGATTAGCGGCAATAAACAGACAGACAGACAAAAATTCAGAGATTACCGTAATTATATTCGTATGCATGTAGTAAAAAACTGTTATTTAAACAGACACTCAAATTTTTTTTATTTAGGTATAGACAGACAGACGTGAAAAAAATAAAATGTAAAATAAAAAAAAAATTTGTCTGTCTGTCAAAATGTCCATCAGAGATAGCGGGAACAGACAGACAGACAGACAGACAAAAATTGTAAAAAAATTTTGTCTGGTTATTCGGTTATTCCAATATTACAAACAGACACTCCAATTTTATTTATATGTATAGATAAGTCTATATATGTCAAGCAGTGTCAAGTTCTAAATTACGCATAACTCGTAACTATATAAATAATTGTATGACTAAGGACGGTAGGGAAAAAAAAATAAAAAACTTGACGTTCATAAGCGGCTAAAATGTCCTACATGAATAAATGATTTTTGAATTTGAATTTGACGCATAACTCGTAACTATAGGTACTATATAATTGTATGACTAAGGAAGAAAAAAATGTAAAAACTTACGTTCATAGCGGCTAAAATGTCCTACATGAATAAATGATTTTTGAATTTGAAAAAAAATGGAAAACTTGACGTTCATAAGCAGCTAAAATGTCCTACATGAATAAATGATTTTTGAATTTGAATTTGGCGCATAACTCGTAACTATAGGTACTATATAATTGTATGACTAATGAATAAATAACTCGTAACTATAGGTACTATATAATTGTATGACTAAGGATAGTAGGGAAAAAAAAATAAAAACTTGACGTTTATAAGCAGCTAAAATGTCCTACATGAATAAATGATTTTTGAATTTGAATTTGACGCATAACTCGTAACTATAGGTACTATATAATTGTATGACTAAGGATAGTAGGGAAAAAAAAATAAAAACTTGACGTTTATAAGCAGCTAAAATGTCCTACATGAATAAATGATTTTTGAATTTGAATTTGGCGCATAACTCGTAACTATAGGTACTATATAATTGTATGACTAAGGACGGTAGGGAAAAAAAATGGAAAAACTTGACGTTCATAAGCGGCTAAAATGTCCTACATGAATAAATGATTTTTGACTTTGAATTTGACGCATAACTCGTAACTATAGGTACTATATAATTGTATGACTAAGGACGGTAGGGAAAAAAATGTAAAAACTTGACGTTCATAAGCGGCTAAAATGTCCTACATGAATAAATGATTTTTGAATTTGAATTTGAACTTATGAATTACTACTAATTACTGTTAATCGACATCAAATGACAGTCTAGGTGGTTGAGCAGAGCTCCTATTTTCCGGTGGTCGTGGGTTTTTTTTTTAGGGTTGATAATGGAATGGTGCACCCGCCTGCGCTAACGGTTTACGCTGGCGGGGCACCAGTGGAGGATGATAGGATGAGCATGAGGTCAGGTCAGTTAGCCCATCGTGCAAATTCACCAGGAATTTAACACGATGGTTTCCAGGGGGAACCGCGTGGAGGTCGACCTGACATGGTACATTGCTAGCAATGGGGTTATCAATCCACATTACTAACAATCCCCTTCCCCCCAGGTGGTCGTGGGTTCGACTCCTCATATAGTACAACCACTTGTATCATTACATAGTATAAAACAAAATCGCTGTCGCTGTCTGTCCCTATATATGCTTAACTCTTTAAAACTACGCAACGGAATTTGAAGCGGCTTTTTTAATAGATAGAGTGATTCAAGAGGAAGGTTTATATATATATATAATACATGTATACCCGTGCAAAGTCGAGGCGAGTAGCTAGTTAATGTATATGACACCAATACAAACAGTACTGATCTGTGTGGTTTCTATATATAATATGGCAGCCGCGGTGGTCTAGTGGTTTAGCACACCGCTTTACTATCCGATGGTCGTGGGTTCGATTCCTCGCACGGTAAAAACATTTGTATTCATGAGTATGATTGTTTGTATCGGTCTGTGTATTTTCTATGTATAATATGTATTTTACAAAAAAAATGTATCCATGTATTTATATCAGTTGTCTAGTACCCATAACACAAGCTCTGCTTAGTTTGGAACTAGATGGCGCTGTGTGAATTGTCCTGAGATGTTATTATATTATTATTATAAAAAAAATCTCATCTCCCCTCTTAAGGAGAGGAGATGGCAACTTACCCCCGGCAGAAGCACAGTCGGCCGGGATTCAGGGCCCCAGGGAGAGAAACCGGCGTACAATGCGGGCAGAATCTAAGAGCATATTATTATTATTATTATAATAAGTATGTATTTACAAAAAAATGTATCTACATATTTATATCAGTTGTCTAGTACCCATAACACAAGCTATGCTTAGCTTAGGACTAGATGGCGCTGTGTGAATAGTGAGATATTAATTATTTATTTGTACTTCCAGTTGGCTCACATAGATTTGGCGCCAAACTTCAGTGCAAATTTAATGTCGATAACGAATTTCTTGGCCAACATAATATCAATCATCGCGCCTCTTGTCTGCGGGATTGTTGTTAAAAACGAGGTGAGTTGACCCATTAACTTAACTTATTTTATAAACGAGTAGCTTTTGCTCGCGGCTTCGCTCGCGTTAATTTATCCCCTTAGGGGTGGAATTCATGAACATCCTTGCTTTGGGGATGACTACCTCATAGTAGCTTTAGGCATGCAAAGTCTCAGCCCGATCGGTTTGAAATTGACAATGTTTCATCCCCTATTTTATCCCCTTGGGGATGAAAATTTTCATGGGTAGAATTTATCAAAATCCTTTTCTTAGCGGATGCCTACGTCATAACATCTACCTGCATGCCAAAATATTTTATCCCCAAGGGAATAAAATAGGGGATGAACATTTTCATGGGTAGAAATTATCAAAATCCTTTTCTTAGCGGATGCCTACGTCATAACATCTACCTGCATGCCAAATTTCAGCCCGATCCGTCCAGTGGTTTGGGCTGTGCGTTGATAGATCACTACGTCAGTCACCTTTGAGTTATATATATTTAGATTACGAACACTTCACCGTGCGGGTGCCGGGTCCATCGTGTGGCAGAGAGGAAAACTCCGAGCAGTTCCCAGGACTTGTGATCCGGGTGTAGGTTTCAGTGATGCACACTCACCTTCACTGATTGTGTTCCTCTCTCTGTCCAGCCAAATCTGGTAGGAATCTGCTAGTGCAGTTTTAGGTGCACGTTCTTATATAAACTTGTGGGTACGGTGAAAAGGTAAGGTTGTAAGAGTTCATTACTGAAGTTCGACGAATTTTTTTTTTATATTTACATATATTAAAATAGTAAATTTCTGAAGTGGTTTCTGAATTGTTATTTTGCAGCATAGTTTTTGTTCTGGACAAAATCATATTATTTTAAGTATTTCAAGTTGATTTTTTTTTTATTTTTGTTAATTACTATAGATATATATACAATGGGATTGTCTTCTTCACATATTGTGTACAAATATAAAAAAAAAGCTGTATAGATGCTCTATACATTGTTTTTATTTGATTATTATTATAAACTAACTGTTCCTGCGACTTCGTCCGCGTGGAATGTAACTTTATTTTTCTAAAATAAAAGTAACCTAAGTTACTCCTTATTACATCAGCTTCCTGCCAAAAAACGTCAAGTCAAAATCGGTCCAGCCATTTCAGAGATTAGCCGGAACAAACAGACAGATAAAAATTGTAAAAAATGTTCTTTTGGTGTATGTACCGTATTTATATTCATATGCATGTAGTAAAAAACGGTTATTTCAATATTACAAACAGACACTCCAATTTTATTTATATATATATATACATTAGTCGCGAGTACAACTTGTATTTAAATATAAAGATATAAATTATATATTTTTTATTATATTGTATAGTAATATTTATTATATTATCAAAGCCACAATTCATAAATAATAAATCAAATGTGCCAATACATCTTTTGTTATTCTTAGATCCTTTTGATAACTCATATAAATCATGACTTTGCATTCATATATGAAACTAGCTGTTCCCGTGACTTCGTCCGCGTGGAATTTATTTTTATCCGTTTTTTTTCTAAAATAAAATAAAATCCAAAATATAACAGACAGAAAAAATTGTTCAAAATGATTAATTACTGATATTTATTAATTATAATTTAACAACAAAAAAACCTGTTACATCAGTAGTAATATATTTGTTAATTACAAGCTACGCCCGCGACTTCGTTCGCGTAGAATTTAACTTTATTTTTATAAAATAAAAGTAGCCTAAGTTACTCCTTATTACATCAGCTATCTGCCAAAAAAAGTCTTATCAAAACCGGTCCAGCCATTTCAGAGATTAGCCGGAACAAACAGACCGACAGACAGACAGACAAAAATTATAAAAAATGTTATTTTGGTATATGGACCGTATATATATTCATATGCATGTAGTAAAAAACGGTTATTTCAATATTACAAACAGACACCCCAATTTTATTTATATGTATATATAATCTATACATATAAATAAAATTGGAGTGTCTGTTTTGTGAATACAAATAACATTTTCTTTATCATTTTATATTAGATTTATGATGGATATAATTTATATGTACATGTGAACATGTAATAGTTCAACAATCAAACATTACTATTTATTTTATTAAATTAAAACCAGTATATGTATAGTACAGACTTCAGTTTGGATTGTGAAATCATTCATTTGTATGAACTAGAAACGAGTGATTCAAAATCTCAATGATTTTATAATATTTTTAAACTTTCGTGTTTGATATATATGGGACACAGTCACCTAGATACATCAAAATAATAATTGCATTTAATAATGTCTAGTAAGACAAATTCAATATTGTCTACTAAGCACTGCCGTGTCCAAACTGTGTGACCCCACCTTACATTTTCCTATTGTTATTTAGTATATAAGATCATTATTTCTAGCAAGCCTTTGAAGCCAGGCATCATCGCAAACCCTTCGACCCTCCATTACGCGTTGTGTCTGATTTATTGGTTGCGCTTTTCCCATTTGTCAGTTTATTATCATCTGTAATACACATCGTCTGGACCAACAACATCGTATCATTTACCCGCAACAATATACATTTTTTTTTTCTGGTTTATATGTATAACATTTGATTATGTATAATTATTTGATGTATACTATATTATTATATTATATTATTGTGTATTCATATGTATGTATATATATGTAAATTTGTGTATGTACTATATTTTAGTTTGTTTACATAAGTATATACAATTTTATTGTTTCCACTAATGCGCCACCTACTCTATTTTTTTTTTGTAAATACTCTCTTTCAAAGGTTGTCTGTAAGAGATTGCATTAGCGATAAGACCGCCTTTTGTACTTAGTTTTTTTTTTTTTTTAATTTTTTCATGTCCTTTATATGTTGGTGCAATAAAGTGTTATAATTTAATAATATATTATTTATTATAAATCGGATCTTAATATGAATAATTTCATGGCAAACAAAGTTACCTCTCTCGACTAAGATCCTCTCTACTCACCACTATTATACACGAATGATCCGGGAAGCAATTAAAATAAAGAAATATCTCAATCTCAACAGAGGGGATAGCTTAAAATTATCATCTGCATGGAATCCAGTCATAAATAAATACAAGCAAAGTTCAGTAGCATCAATAGTCAAAAGTGTACGGATACCGTGAGTGCTATGTGTCGCGAACTTTCGTTAAACAATCTAGTGACGGTAGATGAAAAAACTGCTGTCACCTATCTACATTGACATCGCTGTTACTCCAGTCAGCTCGTGACCACGGCTAGTGCAACCTAGTCGAAACGTCGAGAGAGGTAAATACCTGTATTTGGCATAAAATGATTCGTGTTAAAACCCGGTTAATAATATAAATAATGTTGATTTGTATGTCATTTAATTCTGCAACTATTAACATGTGTAAGACCACAAATATACGTATAGTATACTTCGATTATACAATAGACTGTGTTCTGAAAATTGTTCGACATGATGCCTACGGCCACCTTTTACCACCGCACAACTCGCCATCGATAGGGAATTCATCCCCACACGCTGGAACCTAAGTGGTCTCGGACAGTGCGGTTTCAGAGGAGCTTCCTCCCGCGTACACTTACATTGTGGAATGAACTACCTGTCGAGATTTTCTCACGAGACTACATGGGGTTTTTCAAGAAGGGTATATTAAGGTTTCTTAAGGGTCGGCAACGCGCACGTGATACCCCTGGTGTTTCAGGCGTCCATAGGCTACGGTACCTATTTACCATCAGATGAGCCGTATGTTTGTTTGTCTTACTATGGTAGTAGTATTAAAAAATCCTATCCACTGCTACTAGTTTGTATTGAGTTGATTTGAGTAATAATTATTTGTTTGTTTATTGTTGTTTTTTTTAACAGTCTGATCCAGCAGAATGGCGGAAGGTATTCTTCATTGCAGCCGGCGTGTACTTCTTCACAAATTTATTCTTCATACGGTACATCACGGCGGATAAGCAGCCGTGGAACGAACCTCGTCCCAAACGGCCAGTAAATGCAATTTGTTGGTAATTATTCAATCATACTTAATTTGTAACATTCTGTAATTTAATTAAATGAGAGTTTTAAACAAATTCAAATAAATTATTTGTTTAATATATATTTGCATTCATCATCATCATCATCATCACAGCCCGGAAGACGTCCACTGCTAGACATAGGCCTCCCCCAAAGATCTCCACGACGATTGGTCCTGCGCTGCTCGCATCCAATGCCTTCCAGCGATCTTGACCAGATCGTCGGTCCACCTTGCTGGAGGCCTTCCCACGCTGCGTCTTCCGGTCCGTGGTCGCCACTCGAGGACTTTACTGCCCCAACGGCCATCTGTCCGTTCATATTTGCATTAATTTAAATTAAATATATATATATATATATCTCGCTGATTAAATGCCAACGGCCACATGACGCAAACGGTAAATTTTACAGGAGAGCTCATCAAAATTTTCACTGCGATATTTTAACTCTTTTTACGAATCTATAAGTGTTATTTTGTCGTTTTTAATATAAAAATTATGACGAATTAGGTATCATTTTTGGAAAAAAAATAGTTTCAGTTTTTTTTGCGTTGTAGCCCTTTGTCATTTAATCAGCGATATGTATAATAATAAAAGAAAATTTTGTTGTTCTTCTTTTAAAAGAAATATTGTAGTCTAAGCTTTTGTAAAAATACAAATTATACAAAATAGTATTAAATCACAATAATTACAGTTATTATAATATGTCATATCAAACATTTTTAGTTATTTTCATACTGATTTTCATATACCTATGTATTTTTTCTTTCCAGAGCTTGGGCAGCAAATAGTTTCAATTGATTGAAAACATGTAAATAATTTTTTTTATTTAAATTTCTTAGAATAACTTAATAGTATAAATTAAACTGTTTATTAATATTACTGTATTATTTCTGTCCTTCTATAAAAAGAGAGCGCGTGGTGAGAAGGGCAAACCATCTTAGTCCTCCAGAATAACTATTGAGTATCACGGGTGTGACATGATAACGTGATATCCGTAGTTCTGTTTATAGGCCACTTCTTTGCCAATACTACTACATAAAAAAGCACAGATAATAATACTGAACAAGTCAGAATATTCTAAAGGTAACAGGGCCTCATCAAGTGACCCCATTGTGTTGTTCTTTTCTAGTGTTACATAAATTGAAAACATTTTAAACTTTCATAAGCGTCTGTATGCTATAGAATCGAATAAATATTGTCATTGCTCGTATCCAATTGGCGAGAATAGAACCTTTTGTATTCAGAAGAAAATATGTACACAAAGCAAGTCAATGCACGTTTGAATTGATTTTTATGTAACAATTTATTTATTTTAATCTATCGACCAAATTGCGACTTGATTTAAGATAAGATTTCAAACGGTAGCAAATATTGTGTGGATTATATTCAAATTCAAAAATCATTTATTCCTACAGGACGTTTTAACCGCTCATGAACATAAATTTTTGACATTATAATTTTCTTTTTGTCCGTACCTTCCAGTTCGGTATATAGATCCAATTGAGAAGAACTGGCAAGAAACTCAATTGAATTTTTTTTTAAAAATCACTTTATTTACAATGTAAATTTATATAGGTGTCTAACGTTAAATGAAAATCCAGTGCATGAACAACTATTGCCATGCACGCTCGTATTTCAAGTGATCGTTTAGTGAATAATAGGCTTTGCTCAGTAAATATGATTTAAGGGATGTTTTGAATTTATTTAAGAGTAATTCCAATATATCCTTTGGTATCTTATTGTAAATTTTTATACCTATTCCCATAAAAGACCTATTGACTTTTTCTAAACGATACTTGGGGAAAAAAACAATTTGACGTTCATAAGCGGCTAAAATGTCCTACATGAATAAATGATTTTTGAATTTGAATTTTGACCCGGAATGTAAGCTATCTCCATACAAAATTTCATTTAAATTACGAGCGTACATGACGCTCGTCATACAAGTAATCGTTTAGTGAGTATCGGCTTTGCTTATAGAAATAATCTTTATTCAAATAAACTTAATATAAGCATTTTTTTGGATGAAGATCGTGAAAGGTAACGGGAGCTCTGCCGATAAGGGCGACGCTCTTAAATTATGAATGAATGAAGTTTTTTTTTTTACTTTTAAAGTATTTTTTTTATTTCAACCACTCATTCAGAACGCAGACTCATCACAAGAAGAATGTTATATGAACTTGCGTGTTCCTCTTTTAAATATATGTTTGCAGAAATACATTCTAAACAATTGTTTATGAACTTTGCTTGTTAGAAACTAACAAGGAAGTTAAAGTAAATAAAGAGTTACTGGAATGACTCTTAATTGTTTAATTATGAAAAAAAATTTTTTTTTTGTAATTCTTTATTGTACAAAATATTAGAAATAGAAATAGAAATAGAATACGTGTCAAAAAGCAATATATATAAATATATAGTACAAGAAATAATAGTAAATCTAATAATAATTAGAAGCAAATGTTCTTTCTTATTTCTTGATTAATGTAGGTTATTGACATGATATAAGAATTTTGATAAAGGTTTAAGTAATTTTTAAATTAAACATAAACAAAATAATAATAAAAAATATATATATAAATAAGTATAAGTAAATAGCAGGTATTTTTAAAATATGGTTGTTTGTTATGTTTTTCATGTACCTTTTACTAAACGGCTGGATCGATTTAGATTAAATTTTGTACGTATTATTAAATGAGTTTTCTGAATGGTTAGAAAATATAATTATACTGAGTAGGAGGAGCTGATTTTCTGGGAAAGAGCATTATATAACTAACTATCTACTCGCCCGGCTTCGCTCGAGTATACATGTATTATATATATAAACCTTCCTCTTGAATCACTCTATCTATTAAAAAAAACCACTTCAAAATCCGTTGCGTACTTTCAAAGGTTTAAGAATACATAGGGACGGACAGACAGCGACAGCAAACTTTATTTTATACTATGTAATGATTGAACATCTGTATACAAATTCTGAAAACGATAGAGACGTCACGCGTCCAGTTTAGGAGATGTAAATGGAGGAACAGACAAACGGAAACAATGAATTTGTTTTATGCTATTTATGGACGTAATCTATTCATTAATGAGAGGCAATAAATTTAAAGTTTAATGATTAATCATAAAAGTTGTGCAAGTTTTTCAATAGGCCGACTCTTTCAAAGTTTGAAGCGGCAGTAAACATTGTTCAAAATGATTAATTACTGATATTTATTAATTATAATTTAAGATCCGGTTCAACTAAAAAACCTGTTACATCAATAGTAATATATTTGTTAATTACAAGCTGCGCCCGCGACTTCGTTCGCGTGGAATTTAACTTAATTTGTCTAAAACAAAGACAGCCTAAGTTACGCCTTATTACATCAGCTACCTGCCAAAAGAAGTTCCATCAAAATCGATCCAACCATTTCAGAGATTAGCCGGAACAGACAGACAGATAGACAGACGAAAATTGTAAAAAATGTTACTTTTATGTATGTACCGTATTTACATTCATATGTATGTAGTAAAAAACGGTTATTTCAATATTACAAACAGACACTCCAATTTTATTTATATGTGTAGATAATTTAAGATCCGGTTCAATAAAAAAAATGTTACATGAATATATCATAATATATAGTAATATTATAAAGCTGAAGAGTTTGTTTGTTTGAACGCGCAAATCTCAGGAACTGATTTGAATTGAAAAATTATTTTTGTGTTGGATAGTCCATTTGTAGAGGAAGGCTATAAGGTATATAACATTACGCTACGACCAATAGGAGCGGAGCTGCAATGAAAAATATTGCAAAAGGTGAAGAAATGAAACGCAGACAAAGTTGCACGGGTTACCTAGTAATAACATAAATGCAAATGTTTGTGAGTATGGATGTTTGTCACTCGCAAAAACTACTGAACCGATTTTGATGAATATTTACAGTAATATAGCTTATACATTAGAATAACATATAGCCGTTCAGATATTATGTAAACAGATTTATTACAGTTATTTACCCCCCCCCCATCCCCCGCCCCACATCCCCTTGTCGGCAAAAGTAACCAAAGCTCTCCCCCTCCCCCCTTCCTTACGTAAACATTTTTCAATTAGTGTATTGTGTTTTTAGCAAAGATAATGTGAGGGTTGCTATTCGTGAAAAAAGTAAATAACTACCGATGACGTAGTCATCATCTAGACTCCCCCAGCCCCATGTCATCCAAAATAAGCAACGCAAAGACCTTCCCGCCGCCCCATAGTACTTATGTATGTAAGAAGCACTACTTATGGACGACTGAGGCTTTGAAGCCGACTACCGCAAGAGAAACCCGAAGTAGCACCCGTGACTTGTGACACGGGTGTAGGTTTAAAGAGCTCTTTTAGAATGCATTAACACTCGCCTTCACTACTTGCAGCTTCCCCCCAGGTCCAACTAAGACTGGGATCAACCCATTCCTAATACAATTCACTTTAGTATCCAAAACACAACCGGCACGCTCTGCACTCGTCGACTGAATGCCGCGGCTCACCCAACCAAAGAGGATTATGCAACTACCGACCTCCGTATTTATAGACCAAAGTCAGTGTAGCAGGTCGAACTATACTTACTAGATGACGCTACTTACAATATTCGTAATAATCTTTACATTGGGTACTTCATTAGTACTCAAAACAAACTGGCTTCTTTTAATATATTTTTAAAATATCAGATTTTTTCTACAATAATGATGTGAACATGTAATACTTGAACGGCCTTATAGACTATAAATTTCATGTGGATGAAACCGCGGGCGCAGCTAGTATACAATAATATCTAAGAACAATTACTGAAAATCATCCAGCAACATTGGCCACTACTCAGCATTATTATTATTAACAATTCACACAGCGCCCTCTAGTCTCAAGCTAAGCAGATCACGGGAACTACTTAATTTTCCGATTAAAACTATCTAAGATATTCAAGTTTGTACGTTGACGAAAAAAAATTTGACGTTCATAAGCGGCTAAAATATCCTACATGAATAAATGATTTTTTAATTTGAATTTTGACCCGGAATGTAAGCTATCTCCATACAAAATTTCATTTAAATTGGTCCATCAGTTACGAAGATTAGACTATACAAACAGATGGAGAAACGATAAATTTGAATAAAATCTATATGTGTTCTTTTCCGCTTCTAACTTCTCTCTGATTCGGTTCTGGCGCTATGTGCAGATATTCGACCTCTACTGTTTTATTATATAGATAGATAGATAGATAACCAAAATTTCAAATTCTACATTAATAATACTACGAATGGATCCGCTCAGTGCCAACTTGACGCTCTAGACTCAATCGACAGACGAGCTAGGAGACTTATCGGGGACGAATCACTTGTAGCTAAGAGGTTTCACAGTCTTAATCACCGACGTAAAGTGGCTTGTCTATCGGTGTTCTACAGGCTCCATTTTGACGAATATGCTCAAGAACTGCACAACCTTATTTCTCCAGCACCGTTCCATCAACGTACAAAGACGTAGAGAGTGGCTCCATCCATACACTATTGACATCCCAGCTGCTCGAACCAACCGTTTTGCATCATCTTTCCTTATGCGAGCAGCTAAGGAGTGGAACTCTCTACCAGCGTCTATTTTTCCTGCCTCTTACAACATTGGGTCTTTCAAGTCAAGAGTGAATAGACACTATTTGAGCTTGCGTGTAATAGCTTAGACTACATCATCACTTAACATCAGGTGAGATTGATAGATCAAATTTTAATATAAAAAAAAATACAATCTTGCAAATCTCCTGTCGGGGTTTGTCTGCAGGCAAATCTCTTATCTACTTATTAAGTAGGTACATGTTGCCGATGGCAACCTTTTTGA